CAACTATGTTGAAGACTAAGACATGGGGGGGCGAAAATATATATTTATATAAGACGCTGTCCTTAGAACAACATACTGGTAGTACTAGCTGGCTGTGAGGGGTCATTTTGGAAACGGCTGGGACCCCTAAGGCACCAGCTGCCTCCTACCATCATAGGGTGCTATCCTCGCTCCACTGGCACTACAGCTGCACTAACAACAGCTCACTGTGTTTAGTGCTCGAGTCTACAGCAGAACGCCCACTGCACTTCACTAACCACTGCAACTTTAAGACCCGTGGCTCATGTACCACTCTCATTACAGTGAAGAAACACCTTTTTGGGCACTGTGGGGGTGTGAGACTCCAAGGGTGAGGCATTATATGCAGCTGGATGCCTCTCCGAAGACCAGGAATGCAGCTGTAACAAGGTCCGTGCCGCTGTGCGACTTTTTTCTCTTTTTTTTTTGTATTTTACAAGATGAGACGAGGGCTGGAGGGAGACAGCGGGGAGCACAAGGAGGCGGGGGCCCGCGGTGATGAAGGCAGGCAGTGGGCAGCAGGGAGGGACTCTGGTCAAGCCGGGCACGCTCCTGCAGCTGTCAGCCTCCTTGCTGGACGAAGGCTAGTGTGAAGCTGCGTCGCCCTTGGTGCCTGTTGGCGTGGGCGGGAGGGGCACCACCCCCTCTTCCCCTGCCCCGCCCGCGGCGTGGCCGCGCCCCCCGGGGAGCCCCGCGGCTGACCAACACGTCTCATTTGACTCACAAACGAGACGGTTCGCAATGATGGATCCCCCGCTCCTGCCTCCTGCTGCTCCCCACCCCTCCTTCTACTGCTGCTGGAGATAGTCTTGCGTGTCTTCTACCAGCAGGAGTGTGCTGCCCATCGTGCCGCCCCAAACACTGGGATCAACAGCCTGTGGAAAGAATAATACGAATTAACACTGAAACTGTTGCTGTTTTATTCCATGTAAGTCACTCCATTACAGTCACATATGATCTTTCTGTTCCATTCTCCTACGCATGCCTACATGTACTATGGCACGCACTCTAGGGCGTGGTGGATACTCAAAATACACAACTTGAAGAGTGTGTGAAGTAAGAAGGGACACTACGAGTTTAAACACTATTCTGTTAAGTACAAATAAGTAATCTCCCAGACACACACACACACAGGCAGAAAGGCGGGGTCCAAGAGCTAATAGCTCGATTCGGCAGATAAAAAGAGTAAATACCCACCAGCCGGTCCCAAGTGTAACTGACTGGCATCAGCGCCAGCGTCGACTGCGCTGCCACCACTCCACTAACGTCAAGGAGGCGCGCCTCTACCGTGTGACCGATCTGTTACTCAAACACCGCTCAAGATTCATCATTTCAAACTCCGGTTGACGCCGCTCCTCGGAAATCGTTAATTCTAGCTAACCAAGCAGCCAGCTGGCATGAGACCACTCTCAAGCCGCCGCCCTTAAGAACAACCTAGCCACTACTGGAAATAACAGCCCTTAACTCTGGATTCCTGGAACCAGTTGGGGCTGGAAGGTTGCTGAACTTCCAGGTGTACTTTTTTCAGAAATTACTTATAAAACGTTTTTTTTATGAGGATTATGATGCCGAGCGATAATTTCTGAGCTATCAAAAAGTACCATCTTGGTATTCATTTAATTAGAATAATCAACGCGAGTACTAGTTGTCAAACTGAAATCATAGCAATTATCACAAAACTAATATGATGTGATATAATAATTTATAACTAAACTGAGACTCCTGACGCAGGAAGTTGTAAGCACAGCAAGTCATTACGGTGTCACCTCTTGAGGAAGCATTGTTATTGCTCTGTCACCTGTGAGCCTAGAGACTCTCCAGTGACACAAGTTACGCACCGACGCATCGTCCGTAATATGGAATGGGGAGGGGGGGGGGGGGTTACGACGAACTGAAGAACAAGGATGGGAGATTTGTATGAAGCTGCGGAAAGGAACACGTTTTGGAAGGACGATGTTACGGAGGGACAGCATTGTAAAGGAACACTGGGGGAAAGGTGGGTGGCCTGCGTTCTGGAGAGAGAGAGAGAGAGAGAGAGAGAGAGAGAGAGAGAGAGAGAGCGAGAGAGAGAGAGAGAGAGAGAGAGAGAGAGAGAGAGAGAGCGAGAGAGAGAGAGACTTATAAATGAACAGAGCAGTTGTGTGTATCTGTCGCAGATCATGACGGCTGTGTTAGATGTTTCACTAACATCATTCTCTCTTTCTCTGTCAACATCTTTAATACAACCTATAAATCATTACTCAACTACGTCACTTGATATATTTACCGAAATGACCCCCCCTTTCCTGCTAATAGCGGTCGGCACGCTGAGCCAGCAGCATGTCTCTGGGAGAGAGAGAGAAACAATGAAACAAATGCTATTATACCTTAGGCACAAGTACCGGCCGGTGGCCTCGTCTTAAACCACCGCCACCTCCCCTCCCACCGCCACCTCCCCTCCCATCGCCACCTCCCCTCCCATCGCCACCTCCCCTCCCATCGCCACCTCCCCCACCCCCTCCCCCGCCGCCTCCTCCCACATTACTAACCTTCACCCCTATTCCTTCCATACCTCTACACCCCTCTCCCGCTTCCCTTCCCTTCACCAGTCCACTAACTCTCTTTCTATCCCAGTATTGTTTCTCCTCTTTCTCACCCGCGTCTTTCACAAGACGCGGGTGAGAAAGAGTTTCGGTTTCGGAAAGAGAAACGGTAAGTCAAATGGTTTCCCATTTCACTTACCGTTTCTAACCCCCATCATCCTTTCCTCGATCTTCTATATTTCTATCTTTCTTGTGCACTATTTTTCTTACCCTAACCCTCACCCCTTCCCCCCTTCCCCCTCCGTACTATCCTCAACCCTTCCATTTTCCCTTCACCGCCGTCACTCTACACAGATGTAAACTGCCTTGTAGGGCATGGGGTGCATAATAAATGACTAACTAACGCCGTCATCCATACGTCCCTTCCATCTCTTTCCCATCACTCTAACCTCATTTCCCCCCCCCCAATCCCTCCCATCTAACCATCACAGCCACTCATCTCTCCCCCTCCCCCCCCCACTCCACACTGCCAGCCTGCAGCGCCTTGTATTCATTACACTGGGCCGGGCGATAATGAATGTCATAACGATTGCTCTTCATTACAGTCAAAGCTAATACTGCTGATGACTCTTGAGACAAGATATGACTGCTAGCCGTCAGCCTCTGACAACACCGCCGCCCCGCTCCTCCGCTTTATGGGCTCGATAATGCCCTGCAAATGACGCCGTCCTGGGGATCACAGTATACAAATAATTTCGTATAATGACCTTTTATTACTGGCCCTCACCTCGGGAAAACAATTATACTGGGAGTTTATACAGTTGAGAAGGTGGTGGATGGGTGACGAACGGAGCGCCCCGTCCCGCTAGACACCGCTCGGGGGAGGCGACAGCTGCACGCCACTGTCCGAGACAATCTGAACCCGTCCGATGGAGATGAGCGTCGCGATAACTCATTTCTTCAATCAAAGTGGTTGTCTTCTTCTCGGGTTTTGTTTATTTTTCAAAGTGAGCTTCATAGTTGGTGCTCAAGAAGGCGTTTCTATGTCTTGCCTTATTCCTCGCCCTCCTCCTCCTCCTCCTCCTCCCGCCCTTACCCTGGCTGCCCACCTTGCCCTTGCTCCTTCTTCCCTCCTTGGCTTCCCTTACCTTGCCTTCGCTTACCTTGAATTCCCTTGCCCTGGCTTCCCTGGCTGCCCACCCTGGCTTCATTTGCCATTTACTCAACCGCTCACTGCATCAATTCCAACATCCTCTGTGTCCGCCAGTCTTAATATAAATGATGAGTTAATAAGCATCCTGTGTCGGTAATTTTGTTGTGTAACTCAGGAAGTAATGACCAGTTATCGGACAGTAACAACACCTTATATTTACATGTCCTTGTGGGAGAGGAAGAAACTCTCTCGGCTTATTAATGTCATCATTTCTGTTATTATTAGTGTTGTTATTATTATTATTATTATTATTATTATTATTATTTCTGGATACTTTTATTTTGTTACTATTTTATTTATTATTATCATGTGTAATGTGATGTTATAATGGCTTCAACAGCATTAGAATTTTCTCATAGAGATTTGAGAATTTTCTCAATTGAGAATTTCATCTGTGTCAATTCTCAATTGAGAAATTGAGAATTTTCTCAATTTGATGTAACACAGAAGAACACAAATTAAGACATCCCGCTGAATGTGACAGCAAACACACACACACACACACACACACACACACACACACACACACACACACACACACACACACACACACACACACACACGAGGAGAGACTACGGGAATTAAACCTCACTTCGCTGGAAGACAAAAGAGTTAGGGGGGACATGATCACCACATTCAAGATTCTGAAGGGAATTGATAGGGTAGATAAAGACAGTCTATTTAACACAAGGGGAACACGCACAAGGGGACACAGGTGGAAACTGAGTGCCCAAATGAGCCACAGAGATATTAGAAAGAACTTTTTTAGTGTCAGAGTGGTTGACAAATGGAATGCATTAGGGGGTGATGTGGTGGAGGCTGACTCCATACACAGTTTCAAATGTAGATATGACAGAGCCCGATAGGCTCAGGAATCTGTACACCTGTTGATTGACGGTTGAGAGGCGGGACCAAAGAGCCAGAGCTCAACCCCCGCAAACACAACTAGGTGAGAACTAGGTGAGTACACACACAACAACAACGGCGAGGATAGGGTATCCCAGGACGATGGATAGGGTATCCCAGGACGATGGATAGGGTATACCCAGACGACGGATCAATACCCTTTCCGGCCTGCTTGACCGCCATCAATTGGTCATAAGACCAACAACGGTCAGACGGGGGACGATCTGATTTCCATTACGCGTCAGTTGAGTCAGAATTGACCCATATTGGGAGACTGCCGCTCATACCGGCCATGTGTTGTGATATCAGAATTCTTTGATATAGTCATAGACTATATAACTAATTTAGGATTAGATACGGTAAGCTATAAACAAAAATTGTCTTTATATAATTAGTTTTTTTCAGTGATATAGTCATGCAATTATATATTTATATAGCTTGCCTAATTTTCATGGAATTATTTTGCTATGTTGCTACAAGCTTCGTTTATCACATTGTCATATAATTAAATTCATGACAGTAACTTGACAGTCATAAAATAAGGTGTCATAGCGACATCTGATTTGTCTTTGTCATATAAACAAATTTCTTATTGGCAAAGATATATATATTCATATTACCAAATAACTAATATGTATATAATGTCGTGTAGCAAATTTATATTGTCAGACCTAATTGGTCGTTTTTGGCATTAAAGATTGATTGATGAAGATTAATCCACCCAAGAGATGGCACGGGCATGAATAGCCCGCAAGACATTAAAGGCGCTCACATATTCTCACGTAACTAATGTCATATTGTAATTTAGAATATAGTCATATACCCATGAAACTAATTTGTCATAGTTCTAGAACTAATTTCGTATATCACCACACAAATTATTTGTGTCATATTACTAACTTGTGATATTACCGTAGAACTAATTTGCCGTACAGTACCTGGTTGATACCTGGTTGATGGGGTTCTGGGAGTTCTTCTACTCCCCAAGCCCGGCCCGAGGCCAGGCTTGACTTGTGAGAGTTTGGTCCACCAGGCTGTTGCTTGAAGTACTTTCAGTACAGTACTTTCATAATTTATATTAATTTATCTGTACAATCTGTTGAACAATAAAACAGGCGACCCTGGAGGAGGAGGAGGAGGACACTGCCTGCGTCTCTACCAAGGTATATCTTGAGGTTATCTTGAGATGATTTCGGGGCTTTAGTGTCTCCGCGGCCCGATCCTCGGCCAGACC